TGCTGTACTTCCATATCTTTGAATTCTTTTTTTTAACCAGTTCACCACCACTTCAGAATCTCCTTCAATAATTAGCTTTCTAATTTGTATCTCCTTGCCTCTTTAAACCCCTTCAATGGCTGCAAGAAATTAGTCCTCTCACATTAAGAAATTAAAACCCAGCCGAGAATCAGCTTGATTATTACCAAAAAAGAAGGAAAAAGAATCAACCACATCTAGCCCAATCCAGCTGAACTGGCCGGCTTGAGATGAATTGGTAAACCACTCAAGCTTTCTCCATGGATCAAATTTCAGTGGTTGTATGTTATATATTAATTACCAATATTGCAAGGCGAAGTTGAAAACTAATGGAGATCTAGTACTAGCTAGCTAGGGCATTGAACACACGAACAGTCTAGCTAGCTAGAAAGTACCCTGCTGGTCTGAATTTGACACATGGTCAGTCTATGAGTTTGAAATATATATCATAATAGGAGAAGTCATTTTGGGTCGGATCTTAGTTAGACGAGTCCGGATTCAGTGAACCCTTCGGTTCACGGGCGTGTGAATCCCTCCGATAGGAGGCGTGCACGTCGCCCTAGCCCCTATTCGGGGATTGCTATTGCATCAATGTAATGAGTCTGTTAAGGTTGTCAGTCCGGTTCAACCGGTTAGGAAAAAATTAAACCCGAGCCCCTTTCTTTCCCCCTCATTCGTTTGAATTCTCTTTCCCTAGTTTTATTTTCACCCGAGCCCTAGCTCAAGAGCAAGAGGCCACCAGCGGCGATATTCTTCTTTTATACAGACCACCACTGTAGAAAAGAATCAACCTGCGGTAAGCATCCACCCTCCTCATTTTCCTTTCAAACCTGTTATTCCTCCCTACTATGATATTCTTCTTTTCTACAGAGTACAGACCACCATTAGCGGAAATTTCTCTGTTTCACTGAGCTCCGACCGTGTGAAATCAATCAGCAACAAGTGTAAACCGGTTGTACCTGTCAGTCTTAATTGTTATAAGTTCTAACATTGAAAATCTAATAACTTTTGTCTCAACTGTATTTCCTTAACACCAAGATAAAACGTTTGATAAAAAAAATTGAGAGAAGAAGCTATTATTGGATAGGAATACTTGTTTTGATAGATAGACCGAACATGTCAAGCTTTTGATCAATCTACGACAACGTGAAGACCCATAAATCGGACCTTGTTCTTCCCAAGATGTGGGTTATTTGATTCTGGCATCTTCACAACTCACAAGACTTCCACTCCTATCCCAGTGCAATCTGTATGTTGGAACTTTGAACTTGAATTGCAAGAACAACTTAACACACAGTTGGAAATCGAAACTATATTATTGTTTCCCGATTCAGAGAGAGAGAGAAACCATCTAAATTACTCCATGGGTAATTAAAGTAAACTCTTTATTTATTCACAATAGAAAATCTCATAGAAGGCCGGACGATCCAAATAAAATGTGAATACAAAAATAACAACTCCATTAATTAATGTATCAGGGTCGCATTATATCTAATTACTGCATCAAATACTGCCGTGGAGTGTGTCTTTGCCAAGCAATACCCRCATGCAATCCGGAAAACTCCCGTGCCTCCGATGATTGGCATCTCTCTTACTTCATTTCAAGATTGGTCAGCTGACAAATACATAGATGAGAGTCATCAGAAGGCTGAAGTACTTGTTCTGTTGTGAAGACATGGCGTAGAGCCCCTGAGCACGCCCCATGAGGGTTGAATTTATATTGGGTGTGGCTGTGCGCGGGTTGTTCATCACGTAAATTGATCCAAACAAGGATGCAATAGGGTCAAAGCTTGTGATGTCGGATAGCCGGCGATAAACGCTCCAACCCAACTGCTGGTTTACACTTGTCTCTGGTTGATTCCATGCCGTTAGAGCTCAATGAAATAGAGAAATCGCCATCAGTAGTTTGTAGAAAGGAAGAATATTATATTGGAGAGGAATAACAGGTTTGGAAGGAAAATGAGGAGAATGGATGTTTACCGCCGGTTGACTCCAAGCCATCAGGCGTTGAAATCGCTGCACTCCACCCTCTTGCTCCTGAGCTAGGGCTCTGGTGAAAATGAAACAGCGGAAAGAGAGTTCAAACGAATGAGGGGGAAAAGATAGGGCTCGGATTTTGTTTTTATCTAACCGGTTGAACCGGGCTGACAACATTAACGGAATAAGAAATAACAATCCCCGAATAGTGCGAGGGTTCACGCGCCCCGTAAACGGAAGGATCACTGAATCCGGACTCGGGTTAAGCAACGTATATGAAATTAGAAGAGACAAAGCTACAATTAATGAGGTAGGTGTATGTTTTGTTTAACAATCAGCAGATTGGAATTGGAATTCATAGGAAGGACATAGGCCATAAAATACTTGAGTAATAATTAAAGGGGTTCTTCTATCATCTCCACTGGAAACGCTCCAACTTTATGGAGAAAAGAGTAAAAATTTTCTTCTGCTAGTATATAGTATATTTTGAGTCTTTTGATTACATAAAGCATCTCCTCCTAGTACTTCAGTCCCATCAATCAAGATTTTGCCAATGATGACCATTTTGTCATTTTGATATCAGCGTGTCCGAGTCCGACCCAGACCCAGTCTTCCATGAAAGTGTTGCAGATTTGCTCTGGAAACCTAGTCACTTTGGCGAATGATTGCTAACCAACTGCGTAACTGGTAAGCGCCTTCCTTCCCAGTTCCCACCAACAAAAGAAGTTTTCTCTATGTCGGTAAGTAACAGATTCAGTGCTTTCATTCCCATATCATAGAGCCAAATTACCCACTTTTTCTTCTTTACTGTGTCACGATGTTTATCGCTCTATTAATAAGTACTGCCTGCATGTTTTCAACTTTTCATAATAAGTTAATTTGCATAGTATTTAAACTCTTTAACTCAACAACCTAATTCTTCCTCAGTAGAGTTTTGAGCCTTGAATCCTTGATTACCCCATCCCCCCAAAACAAAAAACAAAAAAAAAAAAAAAAAGGTTCTGAACCTGTACTCATTTAACAACTCTTGTCACTCTTCTTAATCTTCTCATCCTTCACTTTATCTGCCTGATATTTGTTTTAAATTACACCTCTCTGCATTCATAAAATAAATGTTACAAAATATAATAGATACATATTAAATCAATAATGAAGAATATTCAATTCGTTACAAAGTTGATTTAAATTTAACCGATGGTAAATGAAATTGAGGATGTATAACTCCATTTCGTCTACGACACAATTAAATGCCTCTACGAAACTAAAAGCCTTTTTGGTTCTCTTGATTATTTTTAAACTATTTCTCAATTTCAACCGGAAAACCTCGTTCAGTTCAATTAACATATATGGAGTTCATTCTCTCATCTTGGGCCATTCTTTGACCCAGTGGAACCCCCCAGGAGAAACCCGGACAAAACTCAAAAGGGAGGGTAGGAGATCTCCCGTCTCCGGCCGGCAATAAGCAGTGAAGGCGGAGCAGCTGCTATATATTTGGTAGAACGGCCGGACCCGGACATACAGTATATGAGTATACTTCGGGGATGACTTTCCTCAACAAATAGGTGGGGAGTGGGAAGTGGGAACCACRGCCACCTACGACTGGGCCACTCGCTGTTGTGAGAGCACATAGAGAGGTTGAGGAAACCAAGGAAAAGTAATTCCACCCCCGTTATTAAAGCGTTTAAGCGCAGTGAAATGGCGGTGAAGGACGTTTTGGTTGGTTTTGTTGTTTGTTTCTTCTCGTCAGTATTGTTAATTTGTTACTTATAGATTGTTGCAAGCAAACCCAAACAACCAGTTTGGAATTTGGATTATTTCACAATCCCATTCCATCCTACTTAGCTTACACTCACTCTCCAACTTGTCTGGTCCTCAAAAACCTAATTATGCATGCAACTGCTGATATTCCAAGGAGGAACAAGAAAGTTCAAAGTTCTATTCCTAAGAAATTGTTATATTTCTCTCTCTCTCTCTCTGGTGGCTGTGAATCTTTCTTCTTTCCTGTGGTGTGGCATTCAGCAAACAGCATAAAAAAGAACTACCATGTCAAGAATGGGTCAATACCAATACCACATATTGTCACTACTTTTTTCTTCGTAAAAAAAATAAAAAAAAAAGGAAAATCTACCTTCTACTCAATTAGGCTCCGTATTCATAAACGTTAAAGGTAAACAGATTCTAAATTATTTCAAAGCAAATATTTTTTAGTCCCTTGTACATCGAAACAAAAATAGCGTTAATAATAGTATTATTTATTTTCTTCCTGAAATAAAATCTGAGTAAAACCATGTAATCAAGGAAGACCCAAGCATCCAATTCTATTTCTACAGTTGTACTGAAACGTTGTAAAACAAGTTTGACAAGTAGGACACCTTTTCTACATTTAGAGAATTTAATTTAATGTATCACTTCTATTGGTAGGTCACAAACTTACAATTTTAATTTTTTCTTTCTTTTTGTCAAATTCAAGCAGAAAATTGGGTGGAAGATAGCGACACGGCTTTCTCAATATTGTTTTAGACTTGAAGCAACACTAGAGAGATTGGTGTATGAGGTTAATTAAAAACCATATAAAACCGATGGAATATATATAACATGGATAACAACAATGTTTCACCATCCACCCAATAAATCAGCTAAAATGTCACTGCACTAACCATTTCATCAAATAGAACCTGACAAGTAAAATACTTACTGAGCAGAACATATTCAACATGATATTTAATTGTATTTTTAGTATTATGTAAAAAGCAACAGTTTTCAGTGTCACCCAGTTAGGTCCAAGACCAGTGTTAAGAGCATGCAGCAAACCTTTTGCTGGAACCTGTTATATATTGATCAGTTTTTCTGCATTATTAGTAGGATGTGCCATAATAAGAGAATGTCATAAAATGTGTTATCTTATGTCTCAGTGGTGTTTTTAATATGCGATCATACGGGTTACATAGTTGTTCCATAGACTTCTCCTGCGAATCATGCAAAAAAAAAAAAAAAGTAAACAAGCGCAATTAAATCATATTCGTGTTATTGCTCCCTTTTCCTTCCTTTTTAAATATCAAGTTTTCTAACAAGGTAGGAGTAATAAGGTACAAAACCTTGAATTTACAAAAGAAAGAAAATGAGGCAAACGCAAAACAATCTACTATACAATTAAGTTTAAGACTAATCTTGGACAACTAGCTAGCTAATTTCACGCTACGCTTCTCATGCATATATATATATATATATATATATTCTCAACGAGAAAAATCAGAATAGGAAAAAAAAAAAAAACACAAAGAAGAGAGACAGAGAGGGTGAGGAATGGGAACCTCAAATCTCAACATCCCCCGAAGTCTCTAACGGAAAACCGGCTCTTTTCTGGCAGGTTTCCGGCGTGTTGAAGCCCCAGTGTGAGGGATACGTCGCCGGAGGTGGTCCCAAACCTTACAAGTGTGGCCCCTAATTTGGTATTGGCAGTGGTGGTCCCGTAGTCCGCAGAAATGATGCCACCATTGTATCGACGCGTGTCATCAACAGCCAACCGGTGATGCGTATTGGGTTCATGGGTCGCCGGAAAACGTTGGGGTACGAGAGGTGACATATCGTTGTGTGAGGTGATGGTGGTGGCCATGGTTTGGGTGGATTGGCTTGCTTGGTTTTCCGAGAAGCATTGTCTATTGATTGCGTTGAGTGAGGGGTCGTTGTCGATGGCATTGATTTCGGATCTTTTGCCTGCTGTTGTAGCTGTTGGGGATGATGTTGTTGTTGCTATTGCAGCAGCTGCTGCTGCACCTGCTGCTGCTGTTGCTGTTGTAGGCGTTGGTGTTTGTGCAGAGCCGCTACTTTGGCCTTGTTGGCTTCTTTCTTTATCTCTATCCTCTGCTTCTTCCTTGGCCTCTTGTTGGTACATCTCTTCCACCATGGGTTTCCACAATCGAACCCTGGCATTAATGAACCAGTTCGAAACCTGCTCGAAACGTAAACAAAAATAAAACAGACGTTAAAAGTAAGAAGATTAGATTGGACTCTTGTACAAGGATAGAAGCAATAAAATATTAAATATCTGTGTGGACATTGCGTTCCACAGAGAAAGAAAAAAATAAGCAAAGAAACAAGCCCAGACATATATCTACATATCTCTCTGACTGATTTGATTGGTTGATTTAATGCACATTTCATAATCCTCCTTTTATTTAAGCATTAATTTGATCGTTACTGCAAGCACTGTAGTCTTCTTTGTCACTATGCTATTATTGTTAGTACTAATTGTGTCTATTAAGCTGCAGTTAAGGCTGTTAAATGATAAAATTACAAGAATACAAAAAATATAATTGATATCCTTTATTATTATTATTTTTTGTTTGCTTGGTGCAGTTATCCTACCCTTCAATGTATTTTTCTAACCTACATCGGTTCTCTACTCCATTTCTTAATGCAAAAGAAGTAATGTATATTTCTTCTGCTTCTCTCTTGCTTTCAAGTTACGTGGATCTGTTAGAGTTCGAAATAAAAATAACCCAGTAAATTCTAGTATACAAAACTAAAGTTGTCCATAATCTTGGGATAGTTCTCTTCTCTAATCAAGAAGATGAAAGAAATAGATAGATAGAGAGATAGAGAGAGAGATGTTAAGTTTGGAATATGAAGACCAGGCATAAATACACAATGCATTTACTATTGTAAGGCTCTTAACACGGTGTCCGTGTTGTACGTTGTAACCAAACTGAGAAGTTTAGCTAAAAAGAAGAAAGAAAATAAATTCAAAACTGCAATGTATCTCATGTCCCATTTCTTCCGTACTTTGTTTCTGCTGTAATTTTAGTAGTTATTTCCCCTTTGCCATTTCTATCGGGAAGGAAGGAAGAGAAAAAGGAGGAAATGGCCTTTAACTTATAATAAAAAGTTAATGCAGGTGAAAAATGAAACCCTAAACCATGCACATAAAACTGAACTTGCTGTTCGTCTTCTGGGATTTCTATTCTCTTGCTGGTTTTTGAATGGAGACCCAAAAAATGAAGACTCTTTCATTGTTTCCTCTTCTGTTCATCTTTCTGTTTTATGGGGGATTCGAGAGAGAATAGGACGAACCTGATTTCTCGATAAACCAGTCTGCCGCGCCAACAAATGCTTATCTGCATCACTTGGGTACCTGGACAGAAAACACCAGAAAATGACATCAGCGTCCCTACCCAAACCGTATAAAGAGACCGCGAGCTTTATGTACCGGTAGATGGGATAGAACGATTCTTTCCCTGTTAAGGCGTGGAAATCTAAGAGAGGAGAACAGAACAAGCAGCATCAGAAGAAAAACTGCTCCTACTGATCTCTGCTTTATTATCCTATTACATGTATTGCTTTTTTTAATGAGTATTGATTGATTAAAACAATATCAATATGAGAAAAAGAGAGGGAGATGGGCTTTCTTTTTGTTAATTCTTTTCAATGTATTTGATAACTAACTTCAGGTAGGTCAGAGATAGAGAGAGAGAGACTACTTTCAGCTGTGAAGTCTCAGAGAGAAAATATGCAAAAAGAGCATGGGAAGAAGCTTTTCTTCAGCTTTTTGCTGTGGAGACAACACACAAGGACACTGCATTACTGTTTTCTTAAACACTAAAACAGAAAAGGGTGATCAAGATATATTAGATCTGATAATTTATGGGAGACACAGAGAGTGAAGGATTATAAAAGTATTATTTTGTAATAAATAATAGTGTTGTCTTTTCTTTCTGCTTATCTTTGTTGGTTGAAGATATGAAAATGAATATGCAACCAAGAGAGAGAACGTACGGGTGAAGAAAATGCTCAAAAAGCCAAGATCTCAAAATGTTGACGGAGCGTTCAGGCAAGCCCCTCTGAGGCCTCCAAGCTTCTTGCTCCATCATCCCCATCTGGTGAAAGGCTCTTTGCTGTCTGAGGCTTTGTTCAAGCAACCGAAGTCTTGGAGTCTCTCCTTTCGTTATTCCTGAAGCCCCCGCTTCCTTCTCTCCCAGTAGCTCACAAATGTGCTTCAATTGTGCTGCTATTGCATCCTTTAAACATCGGAAATGACGCGACATTGCTTTCTGGGCAAGCGCTGTGTAAGGAGTTGCCGCCCCAAAACCCATAACTGAGTCAAAGGAGTTTACGACCATTTGCATTTGCTCGCAGTAATGGTTGTATCTTCTATCAACCTGATAACGGACAAGTATTAGAAGAATTATTCAATCCAATTCATCAAACCCTTGTGCACGAGGCCTGTCAAAAATGTGAATAGTAAAATAGAAAAGCCGCAGTACTTTTGTTTGTTCCGCTGTTCGAGGTCCAAGGTTAAATTACCAAAAGATGGAATTACAGGAAGAGAAGAGATCAATAATCATGATTCTACAAGTAGCCTGTAAGAGATGGTGAAAGGGGGTTCTTTGTCCCTAAGAACTGGGTGAAGAAGAATAAGAAGATGGTGATAATGAAGCAAAAGGAGGGAAGGAGAAAAAAAAAAGAAAAAGTATATATATTCACAACTCACAAGCATATTTTAGCTAATAACCATGTAGTACATGGACAACACAAAGAAAAGAAAGATTTTTTTTTTTGGAAAAGAAAGAAGAGAAAGAAAATTTGGATCATGGCATTTGATCTTAATTTTGATAAAAAGGTGCGTGGGTAACTGAAGAAAGAGAAGTTGGTGACAATGTAGGGTAGGAGAGGTTCTCTTCTTTAAGAAGTCAAGATTTTAAAATGGGGAAAGTGGGCAACGGAAGCTTTGCTGTTGTCTTAATGGAAAGACAAAAAATAGACTTGACGAATGGATGAATCAAAACTTGAAACAGTAAAATGATTGTTATCGATCTTCAATAGGTGGGTATTCTTATACTAATTAAAGAGGAATAAAATAAAGAAGATGAAAAAAATTTATCATCTAAGGTCAACTGGGAAAGAAATCAATGGCTTTCTGTGCAGTTACTATGATGGGTATGGATCTCTTGGAGCAAAAGCCTTCTGAACAACTTCTACGTATTATATAGACTATTGGTGATCTTCCCAATCAAGGAATGTCTTTTCTTATTGGAGAGATCCGCCTTAATAGTAACTTTCATTTTCTTTCTCCTTACAATTACAAAAGTCCAAAGTACAGAAGCACCCAACCCATCAATCAAATTCATCAGTAAAATAGAATAGAACATAGAATTCCAAAACTCAATCATCTTATTCCATGGAGCGTTGGAAGCCACAATTCAAAGATCCCAGACACTTGCCGGAATTTCTGTTTTCTCCGGTGGTCTGAAAAATCAATTCCAGACAGGAGAAAAGATAAAAAAGGGACGGGTCTGTGTTTATAGTTCGTGCCTGATATGCATGCCTCACGGAGGGAGAGAACACTGAATGAAAAGAAAGGCTTGGAGAGGAGAGAATCAGAGAAAGAAATGAAAGCAGGCACACAGCACGAGAGAGAGAGAGAGAGAGAGATTACATGCCTCATCAAGCATGGACATCAGCTTGACCTTCCTCCTCTGGTAATCAATCCTATCGGTAGCTGATAAGGGAAGTTGCTCCTTGGAAGAAGATGGAGACCCACCACCAGCTGCACTGTTACTGTGATTAGGGTTAGCGCTGGTTCCATGATGCTTTCCAAGCCTGTTATTCTTGAATTGTCCCCTCCCGACACTGCAAAACTCTTCCAACAATTCTTGAGCAGCCTTGGCATACTTGGAATGCCTCAAGACATTCACTGCCGCTAAGGACGATCCGAACCCAACATGGACCTGGTGGTTCTGTCCCACTCCTTGTAAATGCAACGGTTGGTGATGACTCCCCAAATTCTTCCATGGGTATGAACCAGCCGAAGAAGCGCCTCCCCCATGACTACTGTAATAGAACATCCCACCATCACCCATCCTCAATTCCTCGGCCTTGGCCGCTTCCAAGTGCTGCAACGACGACGCCAACGACAACGATAGCCCTTGACTCTCCACAATACCCCCAATTTTGCCCGTGTTATCGCCTCCCCCGCTACCTGGGACCCACGTGAATTGAGCTGGATGTATTGCGCTACTACCCAAGCCCACTCCGGCTGCAGGTGCAGCCCCGGAACCCGAAGAGTGAAATCCTTGTAGATGGCTTGTACTTGTAGTAGTTGGATTTGGAAGCAGCATATGAAGGGGAGTAGACGACGATGGGGGAGGAGGAGGAGGAGAAGGTGGAGAAGGTGACCTTGGTTGTGGGTTCATAAGAAAAAGCTGCATGGCAGCTGCTGAGTCCGCATTTATGCTTGAAATCTGATGCTGCTGAGCACCTATTCCATGACTGTCACGGTTATTATTGTTTGGGTGCTTTGCATCTCCCCAATGACCCAACCCGCTCACTATCCCTTGTCTGTTCCCGTACCACTCATTCGCTGCCGATGCCGCCACCGTGGGCGGTGGTCGCGGCAGTCGGTAATTGGACGCGATCTGATTTTCTAGGAGCTCCGCAGCCACGGGGGTATCCGGCTGGAAATTGAACATCTCAGACAACATCCCGCCCGTCTCATAACCCGGCAGCCCCCCGGACTCTTCCGCTTCTATGCCCACTAAAGGCGAAGGTGGTTCGAACCCTTGCACCCTTAATTTATCCCTCCGGCTTTGCTGGGCGATGTGTTGCGCTTGTTGTGCCGTCGTCGATCTGTCGAAACCATTTGAGAAACCAAAGATCCCCTGATGGAAGCTTTGGGACATAGAATTTACACAACTAGGTTTGTCTTGGGAGGCCGATGCAGTCTTGGAAACTAGAATTGGGAGGTGATTCTTCAAGTGAAACAAGAGAGGCGCTGGCTGTGGTGTTGCTACTCCCATATCAGTGTGTTCTTCTTCATCATCTCTTTCTTCTTCGGCCCACCAGTACCGCTTTCTCCTGTTGCCGCCGCTAGCTACTCTTGTTACCACAGATCGATTTGAATAAGTAGGTTGATACAAGTGTAATCACAGAGAGAACGGAGATGAAATATAAGCAATCAACGATTAAATTAAAGAGTAGTTGTCGTAGTAGTAGTAGTACTAGTAATAGTAGAGAGAGGGGGGTGGGGGGAGAAAAAAAAAGAACCAGAAAGAAGAAAGACAGGGAGTCAGGCACTATTTTTTAGTGTTTGTTTATTTCACCTCTTAGAGTTGCAGGAATTGAAACGATGCAAATCTCTCAGACATCGTTTTCCTTTCCTTCCGTGGGATTGAATACTTGCTGAATTCTGCTCTCTTTCTTTCCCTCCTTTTTCCCCCTTTGTTTTTCTTTGCAGTTAGTGGTTTATAACCGGCTTCTGAAAAGAAAAAAGAAAGAATCACGAAAATAAGAAATATAAAATAAATTCAGACTCGGAATTGATCTCTCTCAGACAACGCGGAACCAGAAGAGAAAGAGAGAGAAGAGAAGAGAAGAGAAGAGAAGAGAAAAGGTCGATATTCTTCCTCTTCCACTTCCTGAATCCTGATCATCACACACTAAAATTTTATTATTTATTTCAGTATATGTATATATTACATATCAGAGAGGAGGGGAAAAAAGTGATGAAGAAAGAGAAATAAACCAAGACAATTCACCAAAATAAAAAATAAAAAATAAAAAAATAAGGTCCCTGGCTTTATCTAAGGATGACAGAAATGAAGTGGTAAATGACTGAAAATTCCCCACCTAAGTCATGTAGATGTGAACAAAAGGAGGGCATTTGTGCGAGTAGAATTTTGAAATAAAGCCCCTCAACCTCAACTGCTCTTTAAAATTTGCCAAAAGCTACCAATGGTCACCTTCTTCTATTTATTATTACCTTTAATTTGGGTTAAGGAATTAATTAGAAATCAAACATCCATCATATGGAAATGGCCAAACTGCCATCGACAAATTGCGTTTTTGTAGATGCCCCTCACTCACTAACCAACCTACTAGCAAAATTTAAATTGGGAAAGGGGCAAGTTCTATAACAGCTAAGATGTCAATCGAATCAAACCACCGAAGACCACAAGGGAGAAGAATCGAAGATATTAATAAAAGGTAACTGACGTGGTCATTTTTGACATTTTATTATGATGCACAGATTCTTTCAGGGTTTTTTTTTTTTTTAAGTAATCAAACCAACAAATTGAAGAAATCAATATACACAGGAGATGGGGTTAGTATATTCGAGAAGGCAATCTCTGTTTGGTTTGGGCTTGTGTGAGACTGTGAGCTTTTCTTTTTTTCTTTTTTTTTTTGGTATTAGTGAGACTGTGAGTTGTGAAAGGCACTTAAAACCGCTTCTGAATTGATGTTTCGGGTTCAGAATGTAACTAGTTTCCTGGGTTTTGGGCCTTTTGGACATTGATTAAAATTTTAGGGTTTTTGGTCCATACCCATTTAAGGCGCTATTTTCTTCAACAATAAATACCCCTAAAAATAATACGAGATGAAATTTGCTCCTCACACTCGGGCGCCTCACATGTACATCCACCATGGATTGGGAACATCTCCCATAAATAATAATTTAAAAWTACGAGAGATATTCCCAATGTATGACAAGATGTGCTTGTAAGGCGCGTATTAGGCGCCTTGTGTGAGGAATAGATCTGGTCTCCGTACGCCCCTTTTTTTGGTTTCTGTAAGTGCTTCAATATGTCTCTCTATTAACTTCATACTTGTATACCACTCACTGAGGGAGAGATAAAAATTTCCCAACTGCAAACCGGATTGATAGTTGACAGCCCAACCTTCTTTGATCTGTCGCCTTTTTGGTGATGTCACGTGAACCTCACCCTCTCTCTCTCTCTCGCTCTCTCGCTCCCTCGCTCGCACGCACGATAGGACAGGACCACTATATGATCTTCCCATGTCATAACATTATATTGTGCCTGCCATTGCCTACTATATAGTATCTTATCCGCTTATCACGTGCAAAATCGGTTGTACACGTGTCACTTCTTATTATTTATTTATCTTTTTTGGTTTATGAATTTATGTAGTTGAGTTTTTTCACCTTAGGCTGTGTTTGGTTTAAAGGAACTTATATAGGTTTCCTTATTTCTTCAAAACAAACATAACCTTAGTTCAAGTTTAGATATATGGGGGAGGTTTCAGAATAAATAATGAGAAATGCTTGATAGTTTGAAAAAAAAAAAACAGCTTGGGCAGTTTTGAAGCTTCCTTCTCATGACACATTACTCCACTTAATTCTTTTAATTTTTTTAAATAAAAAAAGATGACTACAATTACTCTTTCACCCCACACCCATGCTAACATATCATACATGTCTTATTTTTTTGGTAGTTGTTAACCCTCTCCACCCATTCTTTAATAATCACTTTTTGTTTAGCAAATAAGACATGTGGCTTTTACTATGTGATTTACAGGATTTAAAATTTTATTCAGTTTTAGTAGACCAATCTCTTTGACTTTTGGTGGAATTATTGTTTATTTTCGTTAGTTTAAGATTTATTCACCATATTGCTATCAATTTTTCCAGATGGYAAAAAAATTAATCATTTTCATTTTTAATTGTTTTACATGAGCCACCACTCAGTTGGCTTGAAAAATGCTTGGCTAAGTTAAGAAGGCTTCATATTATGTACAAATATGTATATACCAGTTTCTCTTAATACTTGAAAATTTAAGATCCATTATGTGTAAACTTACAAATAAAATTTACAAATTTAAGATCCATTATATATATATATATATAGTGAGAGCAATCCAGTAATTACTGCCTTATAAATAACAGCAATTACTGATTATTATAGTAATTAATTACTGTAATATAATTATTACTGTTATTGTTAATAAATTATTGATTATTACAGTTATTATAAATTACTGTAATTTAATAATTACTGATTATTACAGTAATTTAATAAATATATAATTAGTTATTATAATTAATAATTACTGTTATTATAAATATTGTTAATAACTAGATATTTACTTTAAAATTATAAATACTGTTATTAAAAAGTACTGTTAATAAATTACTGATTATTACACTAATTTAATAAATATATAATTAGTGATTATAATTAATAATTAATGTTATTATAAATATTGTTAATAAATAGATATTCACTTTAATTTTACTTTAAATTAAAATTATAAATATTGTTATTAATAAATTTAGTAATTATTTTTATATTAAAAATAATTAAAAATGTTATTAAAAGTATTGTTATTGATTATTTAATAAAATATTATAATTACTGACTATTACTGATAAATACTATTAATTTAATTTAATTTTGGTAATTATTAATTTAATGATTATTGTTAATAAAATCCTACTCATAAATTTAATATTTACTGTTATATTAAAAATAACTAAATAATATTATTAAAACTATCATTAATGATTATTTAATTAAAGAGTATAGTTACTTACTATTATTGATAAATGTTGTTAATAATGTTCTAACAACTGACGATTCGATTGTTCGGTTCGAACGGATGGCCTGTTCTGACAACAAAAATTACAAGCAAAAATTATGGAACCATTCTGGCCACCGGTTTTCGGGTCGATGATCCGATCATCCGGTTCGAACGGACAGTCCGTTATAACAACAAAAATTATAGGCAAAAAATTGAGTTTGTGAGGTCCATTAAGTAGTATCATACGTGTTATGTCATTCGAGTGTGTGACTTATACGACCCGAAAATGAAACTGTTCTGGCCACCAGTTTTTGGGTCGATGGTTCGACCGTTTGGTTCGAACGGACGACCCATTCTGACAACAAAAAATCAGAAGCAAAAAAATTACAGAACTGTTCTGACCACTGGTTTTCTAGTCGACAGTTCGATCGTCCGATTCGAATGGATGACCCATTCTGTCAACAAAAATTATAGGCAAAAAATCGAGTCTGTGAGGTCCAATAATAAGCAGTATCATACGTGTTATGTTATTCGAGCGTGTGACTCATATGACCCGAAAAAGGAACCGTTCTGACCACCGGTTTTTGAGTTTACGGTTCAACCATCTGTTTTGAACGGGCGGCCCGTCTAACAAAAAAAATTAAAAAAAAAATGACCAAAAACCATTCAATGGGTCAATGGGTTAACGGTTCGACCACTTGGATCAATGGGTCATTAATCGATTCAACGGTTTTTGGCCAGGGATCAAGACTGGGGTAAAACGGAACTGGTTGCCTGGACGGTTCCTAATTAAAAAAACACGAAAGACCCATTCTGACAAAAAAAAGCACAGACAAAAAATTGAGTGTGTGTGGTCCATTAAGCAGTACCAAACGCATTATGTCATTCGAGCGTGTGACTCATACAACTTGAAAATGGAACTATTTTGGCCACCGGTTTTTGGGTCGATGGTTCGACTGTTCAGTTAGAACGGATGGCCCGTTTTGATAACAAAAATTAAAAAATTAAAAAAAATGACCAAAAACCATTGAACAGGTCAATGGGTCATTAACCGATTCAACGATTTTTTGCCAGGGACCCAGATTAGGATAAAATGGAACCAGTTACCTAGATGGTTTCCAATTAAAAAAAAAAGTAAAAAAAAAAACAGTCAAAAACCATTGAACGGGTCAACGGGTCAACCGCTCAGATTAATGGATCGTTAACCGATTCAACAGTTTTTGGTCAGGAATTGGATCAACGGGTCGATGGTTTTATTCCAGCCCCTGTGGAGTAGGGCCCCTCCGCTAGTTCATTTATTAAAATCCTAGAATGACTTGGTTTTATTTTATATTTAGACTGTATTTGGTTTGAAGGAAAAATTAAGAAAAAGATAGAAAAGATAAGAAAACCTTTACATACCTTATATAGGTCCTTTCTCTATTTTTTCCTTCAAACCAAACATAGCCTTAATATATATTTAGAGAGACATTCCATTGTAGATGAATTTAAGATTTAATATTAGGAAAAATGTAAATGAAATAACTTCAATCCACATGGTTTCGAAATTGCTCCGAGTGAATAACTATTTCAAATTGCAATTTAACTTTATTCACCATTTATGCAATTAAATTAGCCTCACATATTAATGACAAATTATCAAGATTAGTTGAACCATAGTCATCGCGTCATTATCAGCTTTAAGTTATGAAATGACCAATAAGATAAACAAGAAATTGTACAAAAAAAAGGTAAGACACAAAAATTGGAAAAAAAAAGAATTATTGTGTTTTTTAAAGGTAATTACTTTCAGCACTGAGATGAAGAGCTCATGGTCCTTCATTTCAAGGAAAGATAGGATTGATCTACTGAAACGGATCACATCATAGAAACTTTTAAGAATCTCGGCACTGTTAGGATAGGTTAGGTTCCATTCATGAGTGAAATCAACCATAACAAGGGAGTTTAGTTTTGGGAAAAAAGAGAATCACTAGTTAATTAACAAGAAATAAAACTGGAACCCTCCATTCTTTATAGCAAAATGCAACACAGATTAACTTGAAGCAAATTAAAATAGGTTTGAATTGTAGTATTCACTAAAGGGCCATTTGGCAAGTCTTTTTGGGAAGATATTCTCATAGTTCTGACAGTCAAAAGACA